TCTGTGAAGTGCTTCGAGACGTCTCAACAATGTGATAAGGCGCTATATCAAATGCAAGGATTATTATTATATTGATCTGCCCTTTTTGACCTTTTGAAATGAACAGAGCTGTATTTAGTTTACTGAGTCAATGTGACTTTCCTTTCTCCTGAAACAATTTGACTTTTTTTTAAAGTCTGCTCAGTTGTCCAGTGGTACGTTACTCAATCTGCCATTATTCATTCATACGAGATCTTTGAGTTTGCAACTGCGGGGAGTTCAATCCTTTCCTCTCCCAACATTCTCTGTTTGCCTAGCAGTAAGCAGTAAGTAAGGAACCTGGATGATAGTCAATCCTTGACTGTTTGTGGGACACGACTATGCGAAATAGGCTGCAGTGTTTCACCTGCAAAACACATAGTCAATATATTCTGTGAACAACAATAAATTGCATTTGTATAGCGCCTTTCATTTCCGAAGGTCGTCCCAGAGTACTGTGAAGTGCTTTGAGACGTCTCAACCGTGATAAGGCACTATATAAAATGCAAGGATTATTATTATTATCAACACAAACACACTGTGTGTCAGGTTGGCTAAGTCGGTCGAACTCTCGCGCAAATCAGAAGGTTGGGGGTTCAAGACTACTTTGAGAACTTTGACCTTACAGTCTCGGCAGGTGCACTCAGTATTTGTGTAGATAGTTTGTCTACTATACACAAATACACAATCTCTACTTCATAGCATTGTATGTTAAGCCCTTTGACATGTTTATGTTTTAGGTAGTAATACTAATCCTTTGATACAGCGCCTTTTCACATTGTCGAGACATCTCAAAGTTCTTCACAGGATTTACTGTAAAGGGTGGCGAAACAAACACAGCAGCCAATTTTTACCCAGCGATGTCCTCCAAACAGCCCTGAAGTGAGTAACCAATTTTTTTTTGATCAGGACACCAGGATAAACTCCCTTCTCTTTTTGAATACTGCCAAGTGTCCACCTGGACAGGCATATGGGACTTTGGTTTAACGTGTCACCTGAAGGATATCATCTCTGACAATGCAGCACATCCCCAACACTGCATTGGAGTGTCAGCGGAGACTATATGGGTTCCAAGTCCCATGTACGTGAACTCAGAGGCAAGAGTACTACCAACCGAGTCAGGCTGACAGAAAACATACCAAATGAAAGAATGATTATTATCCGTAATAGCCCTCAGCATAAAAGCCCCTCTCCAAACCTCCCCTTAACTCTTCCAGTGACAAGTCTGAATTTTTGAGACAGGACCTCTGTGCCTTTTACCAACTATTCTCAAATCTGTGGAATTTGGGTAATTCTCCTTCTGATGTGAAAGGTGCTGTATAAATGTAAATTCGTCGTATTGTATTTTACTCTTAAATGGTGATGCATTTCCGCATGTCTCGGCTGACCACAAAAATTGATTCTACGACCTTTTACCCACGTTCCAGTGAAAAAAGGCCCCTATCTAACATATAATAATAATCCGTGTATTTGATATAGCGCCTTATCACGTCATTGAGAAGTCTCAAAGGGCTCCATAGAGTGTAATGTGAAGTGAATTGACTGTATATTTTCTGAGCAAAACGCATCAGTCAGTTTCACAGAGCAGTGCCTCACAAACAGTCAAGGGTTGTTTTTTAAGTGATTATTACCTCCGGAAAGTAATCATAGAATCATAGAATTTTATAGCACAGAAAGAGGCCACTTGGCTCATCGTGTCTGCTGGCTCTTTGAAAAGAGCTATCCAATTTAATCCTACTTCCCCGCTCTCTCCCCATTGTCCTGCAAACTTGTCCTCCCCAAATAATTATCTACTTCTCTCTTAAAAGTTGTTATCAAATCGGTTTCCACCACCCATTCAGGCAATGCATTCAGTCTGCTTCTTGACTAACAACCGGGTTCCTACTTCCTGCTAGCTAAAGGTGTAACTATCATTGTATATGTTATATATTTATAATATGTATTGTAACTACAACCTCTCATCGCTGGCATCATCCTGTGAATCAGTCTCCCCTTTAACCTTCTATAATGTTCCTTGATCGAGTTTCTGTAATGTGAACTCACCCTTTAACCCTCTCTATTGTTGACGCTCGATGTTCTTTCCAAAGTGGAACACACAGAGCTGCACGTAATGCTCCCGGCTTCCTGTGTGGACGTCACACGTCTTCCTCGCTATTAAACACGTTCCATTGTCTGATGTTTAGAAACACTGAAATGGCCCAGCATTCTCTTTCCACTATTCCACTCCTAAACATTGGCCACTTAGCGGAGTCCTCCTCCCAGTCACGGCGACCAGAGCTTTGCTGGCTCCTGGCCGTTTCCCAGACAGTGAATATGAAAAGCCGCTCGTACCTTCCATTCAGAAATGTTGATGAATTGGACCATTCGCTGACATTTCCTCTTCTTGTCCCCACTCGGCATCAGGCGCCGTTTCCTGCCGAGGAGACGGGCAGTCTGTACTGTGGGAGCCTGTGTACTTCGCTGCATTGTACAGAGCCCACACTGGCCTCTCGCTTGCCAAAGACTTTTAACTTTCAGTGGTGTTCAAGAACAGTAAATGTAATCTATAATATCCGTGTGACATTCTATGAATAAACCTCCCATTGAATGCGTGAACACAAAGGTTTACTTATTTTATTAAAACAATGCGCTCTCCAATTGAGTGCTCCAAACAAAAACTGGATACTGGAAATGTAGGAGAGAGACAGTGGGTCACCAGAGGTCAGTGGCCTGGGTGGAAGGTAATGGGTTTGATCCCCACTTTAGGGTTGTGAGCTCACAGTCTTGGCTGACACTCTTCTGCAGTACTGGGGTGAGTCCCGCATTGTCGGTGGTGCTTTCTTTTGAATGAGATGATAAATTGAGCTCCCGTCTGCCTTCCTTAGAGCTGAAATGGTTGGTCTCGAAAAATTCTTGGTCTAATAATAATACTAATAATCCTTGTATTTGATATAGCGCCTTATCATGGCGCCAATATGTCTCAAAACGCATCACAGAATATACTGCAAAGAGACTTGACTTTATATTTTTGTGTGTGAAATGTGCAGATATGAGGAGATATTAGAAGGAAAAGAAAGTGCAACCCACCAAATGTGGACACAAGGGTGTAGCAAATGGACTGGGAAATAGATTGTGGAATGCTGGGAATGACGTTGTCAGCCTGGTTCAGTCAGAAAGTTGTGTTCAAACCCACGTTGTGTTCAAACCCACTAGAGAAACTCACAAGTTTCTCTATCCTGACACACCAATACTAGAGATACCGTCCTGGCTATTTAGATGGACTTTAAAGATCTGATGCAATTATACAAAAAGAGAAGCAAGTTTCTCCTGGTGTAGATGGACAATAATCCCCGGATAAACAGTCACTCACTTCATGTCCGTTTGTAGGACATTGCTGTGTGCAAATTGGCTGCTGCCTTTGCCTACATCTGTTAACTTTTATCTGAGCAGCTACAGATAGGGCCTCAGTTTAATACCTCATCTGAAGGATGGCACCTCCAACAATGCAATAGACCCCCCCCCCAGCTCTGTGTTGAAGAGCATTGGGACACCACCTCACATGAGGTGTGCTATATAAATGCAAGTTGTTGTTGGAGAGTCAGTTTAGACTACGTGAGTTCAAAGAACTGACATGTTAGTGACTGACTCAGTCGGGAGTCACTTTTAGGGTCTTGCTGTGTGAAAGATAGCTGCCACATTTGCTTACAAAACTGATGACTGCACTCGATAGTAATTTAAGATGTCCTTTCCTTCACTGATCATTGTTGCCTTGCCCTTTAGGTTGGAATAAAAGTGATGAGCTGATTGTTCAGAGGGGAGGGCTGTACACGCACAGGAGATGGGAGCAAACAGCAGCAGCACCGCTGAGCTCGCCAACAATGACTACCTTAAGCATCTGGCCGGCACTGAGTCCATCTCCGAGAACGATCCCTTCTGGAATCAGCTATTATCGTTTTCTTTCACAGCACCGACCAACAGGTAAGAAGGTTCCACGTGCGAGCACCTAATCCAGCCTCTTTCTATAAATCCCTTTTAGGAACAGGCCAATGGTAGATTGCTCTTACAGTGTACCTTTGAACTAGGGTGAACGTTTGGACGAGATTTGCAAAGGCTGTTGGGAATCACTGGCAAGGCAGGGAATGAGGGCAAAAGCTTGAGAGTAGTGACAAATGGTACAGTCAAAGAACGGTTTGAAAGCAGAGAGGGACTTCCATTAGTCGAGCAAGTCTTGGTTGAAAACTGAGCTGAGTGAACCTGTTGGTTGGGAGTCCAATGCTGGAACTTCACGTCACCCATATCCGATTAGCTTTGACAAAATCATTCATGAAATTCTGCAAGAAATCACGGAAAATGTCTATCTCCCTCCCTTCCCTTCCCACCCCATTACTCCCCTCCTTTCTCCCCCCTCATTTCCTCACCGCATCCTTTCCCTTCCCCATTCTTTTCTTCCCTTTCCCCAAATGTATGATGTTCCTGAGTGTAACTGTGCCAGCTCACCTCGAAAGACTATTTGTTTTCGGTGGTGGTGGTGGGGGGGGGCCGGGAGGAAAGAGAAGTGGGGAGAGACTGGGAGAGAGCCACTCTCTTACTTACACCTTGAATCAATCTCTACCAATGAGCACACCCCCTGTAACCAGTTTTCAATAAATATTTTGTGCACAGCAAGATCCTGTCAACATGTGGAACGTAGGAATAGAGTTTCTGCACATGAAAGCTGCTTTCTGCAGTAAACCGGGGTGGAGGGGAGGGGGGGAGAGGGCGTCTGGGGGCTTGTAAACGATTGCTGGTTCAGCCTGTTCTGCCATAGAATTGTGCTATGTTTGCGGTTTTGTCACTTTGCACAGCAGTGCGTCGCTCTCTTTGAGCCCCCGCAGTGTTCACAGTTAGTAACTGTTTCTTTGTTCGATGTGTCGTTGTGTGTGGGACCTCGCTACTGCTGCACTAAACGTCTGCTGGGTTTGCCGACACAGTAATAATAATAATAATAATAATCCTTGCATTTGATATAGCGCTTTTCACGTCGGGAGGACGTCCCAAAGCGCTTCACAGAACACACTGTGAAGTGAACTGACTGTATATTTGTGGGCGAACGCGGCAGCCAATTGCGCATAGCAATGTCCCACAAACAGTCGTGGATTGAAAATGACCAATTTATTATTGTTTTTGGTTTTTGGAGGGATTATTATTAGGCTCTGTGTGGAGTAAGGAAACTTGCCCGAGGTTTCGCCCTCTGCCTGGAATTGAACTCAGGTCTCTCGCTCGCAAAGCGAGTGCTCTAACCACTGAGCTGCAGGACTCCACAATGAGAGCGAGTGGGTGAGAAAGAGAGGACGAGAGCGTGAGAGATGGTGTGCGTGTGTGTGTGTGTGTACGTGACAGGCTGCGTGTGAGAAATAGAGTGTGTGTGAGAGTGTGAGCGTGTGTGTGAGAGTGTGAGCGTGTGTGTGAGAGTGTGAGCGTGTGAGAGAGAGTGTGAGCGTGTGAGAGAGAGAGAGAGAGAGAGAGAGAGGGAGGGAGGGATAGGAATTGGGGTGTAATGCCTCTCAAACTCCAACGCTGTCACACAGCTTCAGTGCAGTAAATCCGCGCCCACACGTACACACGTCCGCGCCCGTAGTGTCAGATCCAGGCTGTGCTGGGGGGGGGTTTGTGGGGGGTGGTGGTGGGGGGGGTACTACACCCCACAGTATTTTCTGTAAACAACAACAATAAAAGTTACATTTGTAAAGCGCCTTTCACTTCGGGAGGACGACCCAAGGCGCTGCACAATCAGTGTTTCGGACCCGAGCTGGGGGTCGGGGTTGGGGAGGATGGAGGACAGGGGAAAGGAGGGAGGCACGATCGAAGAAGAGGGCATTGAGACGGATCTTGAAGGAGGCAAGGGAAGGGGCGAAGTGGAGGGACTGTAGGATGGGTGTTCCAGAGGGTGGGGGCAGAGTAGCAGAAGGCCTACCCACTAATGGTGAGGCGGGCGAGGTGGGGGACGAGTAGCAGGCTGGAGCCCACTGAGCGAAGGGAGCGGGCAGGTCGGTAGGGGGTTAGGAGATCGCAGAGGTAGTGGGGAGCAGGGCCATGGAAGGCTTTGAAAGTGAGGACCAGGATCTTGAACTATATCTTCTGTGTGATGGGAAGCCAGTGAGTTGGGTGAGGATGGCAAGGTGTGGGTCTCTCTCTCACAATGGGGACAGTCAATCCCAATTGTGCAAATATTTGTCTATTTGTGGAGTCAGATAATGTTGTCAGAGTAACAACAACAACTTACATTGATATGGATCCCTTCAAGCGCTGAACTATAGCATAGTTTAACACTGAGTTGGTAAGAAAGGGGAGGTGACCATAGGTATTGTCGAAGAGGAAAGTCTTTCAGTGGCTGAAAGCACGACAGCTGATGGTAGAGTGAGGGGGCCGATGGATAGACAGAAGGCATGAGCCAGCCGAAGGAAATGGGCAGAATACCTCTGTTTACCTAGCAGTAATAGGAACCCTACTTACTGTTAGTCGATTGGCGGATCACTTTCTGGGAGTAATAATTCCTTAAAACTAATTTGGTCGCTCAATCCACGACTGTTTGTGGGCAATTGGCCACCGTGCTTCACCCACAAAATACAGTCAATTCACTTTGCAGTAAAATCTGTGAAGCGCTTTGAGAAGTCCCATCAAGTGCCATATCAAATGCAAGGATTACTATTATTGATGGTGATTATTATGATTAATGAAACAAGGGCTTTGAGCGGTGGGGCAGAGCCTCGTCATTAAACTTTCAGGTTGGCCTGGTGGATCCCAATGGCCTTTTCCCAGTGACCTCAACAACTGAGTCACTGAGCCGTGCACTGAGCTGAACATCTTTGAAGGTCTTTGAGGCTGCCATGTCCTCATAGTAAACCTCATAGTAAAGTGACAGATGATTTTATTCTGAACACTTGTCATGATGGTAAACATCCCGAGTATTTGAGCAAAGTAATGGGATAGTTCCGGATATGAACGATGGCTGTAACTATTTCAGGGGTTGTTTGATTTTACAGTGTATAAACAGTGTCATAGGTTTACCATTAAAAATGGGCCACCGCCACTGAGAGGATTTGAGTGAGTTCATTCACTGGCATGAGCCATTGAAACAACTCAAAAGTCGGTAATCCTGTCAAGAATAATAATAATAATCCTTGCATTTGCTATAGTATCTTTGAGACGTCTCAAAGTGCTTCACAGAATATATTGTAAAGTGACTGTATTTTGTGGGTGAAACGCGGCAGCCAGTTGCACACATCAGTGTCCCACAAACAGTCATGGTTTGAGTGATCAATTTTTTTTTGAGGGATTATTACCACCAGAAAGCGATCGGCCAATCGACTAACAACCGAATACCTATTTACTGCTAGGAAAACAGGCGTGTGGAGTAAGAAAACATGCCTAAAGTTTTGCTCCAACCGAGAATCAAACCCGGGACTTCTTGCTTGGGAGGCAAGTGCACTAACCACTATGCTCCAGATATCCACAAGTCTAGTGACTGTATTTGTCGGGAAATGTGACAGTCTTGCACACAGCAATGTCCTACAAATAACCATAAAGTGGATTACATAAAATTAATCCAAGGTTTTCAGGTGGGACTGAAGCACTGACTGTCCAGTGCCTTGGGACGTCCTCCGATGTGAAAGGTGCTACATAAATGTAATTTTGCTGTTGTTGTTCATTACATAGGGGGAGTGGAGTCCTGTAGTGTGTTGGTTAGAGCAGTTTCCCCACAAGCAAAAGGACCGGGTTTGATTTCTAGGCAGGTCAAAACCTTTGGCAAGTTTCCTTGCTCCAAACGCCTTTATTTATCTAGCAGTAGCTAGGAAACCGGTTGTTATTCAATCATGGGATCGCTTTCTCGGGAGTAATAATCCCTTAAAAAAATAATAATAATTTGGTCACCCAATGCACAACTGTTTGTGGGACGCCACTGTGCACAATTGGCTGCCATATTTCGCCCACAAAATTTACAGTCAAGTCATTTTAGAGTATATTCTGTGAAGTGATTTGAGACGTCTCGAAGACGTGATATGGCGCTATATCAAATGCAAGGATTTGCACTATAGACCAATCATTGCAAAAGGTTTAGAGTACAAGAGTAGGGAAGTCTTGCTGCAACTGTATAGGGCTTTGGCGAGACCGCACCTAGAGTATTGTGTGCAGTTTTGGTTTCCTTATTTAAAAAAGGACATACTTGCCCTAGAGGGGGTGCAGCGTAGATTCACTCGGTTAGTTCCTGGGATGAGGGGACTGACCTATGAGGATAAGCTGAATAAACTGGGGCTGTATTCTCTAGAGTACAGAAGAATTAGGGGGGATCTTATTGAAACTTATAAGATTCGTAAAGGGCTGATAAAGTAGACACTGAGGGACTGTTTCCCCGGTAGGAGAATCTATAACCAGGGGTCACAGTCTTAAAATTAAGGGTCAGACTTTTAGAACAGAGTTGAGAAAACATTTCTTCACTCAGATGGAATTCACTCCCCCAGAAGGCTGTAGGTGCTCAGTCCTTGAACATCTTCAAGGCTGAGACTGATAGATTTTTAAAAAATAGAAGGATTGGGGATAATGGGGATAGGGCAGGTAATTAGAGTTAGGTCAGAAGATCAGCCATGATCTTATCGAATGGCGGGGCACAGGCTCGAGGGGCCGAATGGCCTACTCCTGCTCCTAATTCTTATGTTCTTATGTTCTTCTTCTTATTAATTCATCCTGAGAAATCCCTTAAACAAAATCATCTCAGTCTCAGCACAAATTCACTCCCCCTATGTAATTAATTCCCGAAACTGGAGCACTCTTCCTCTATCCCTTCCTTCACCATAAACAACAACTTGCACTTATATAGCATCCTCCACCCAGGATGGAGTCTCAGAACGCTTAACAGTGGTGGAGCCTGACTCCAAGCCAGGGGTGAAGGGTGGGGTGGAGGTGGCCATAAGCACAGTCAAAGAGGAAGGTTTTCAGGTGGGGCTTGAAAATAGGAAATCCTTCCTATTTGACCATGCCTAAGGTCACCTCTTCGTCCCCCTTGGCTCGGCCTCATGCTCCGCCACTGTCAAACGCTCTGGCACGCCTCGCTGCGTGCAGGGCGCTATATAAATTGTTGTTGTCAGCAAATGTCCACTTCTCTGCGATGCTTCCCACGTGAGAAGGAGAATGCTCTTTGTTAAATACTGGCACTGTTCCCAAGTTAGGAATTGATGAATAAATTGCCCACTTTCTGGAACCTTTTTCTCTGCCTGATGAAAACAAGGGAGTTGTGCCAGGCCTGAAAGCAACCTGGTATATGTCAGATACCCCCCCACCACCTTCCTCTCCACCCCCCACTGAGTGTTTGAAAAAGGAGAGGGTCCAAAGCTCCATTAGGCTGAAAGGTTTAGGGTTATGTGGATGGAATCCAGTTATTTCAGTTGAAAGTATTATTGCAGAACCAGATCCTTATTATCTGAACATCACGCTGAAAGTAAAGTGAAACAAAATGTTCTATTTTTCATACGCTTTCTACCTCCCCTCACCCCTCCTCCTCCCAAATGTCTAGCGTCCAGTAGCGCAGTGGTTAGCATGCTTGCCTCGCAAGCGAGAGGACCCCGGTTTGATTCCCAGGTAGGGCGAAACTAAGGCAAGTTTCCTTACTCGACACGCCTCTGTTTACGTGGCAGTAAGTAGGAACTGAGATCGCTGTCCTGGGGGTAATAATCCCTAAAAAAAGGAATACACAATCCATGACGTTGTGTTAAATTGCTGTGCATAATTGGGTGCCGGGTTTTGCCCACAAAATACTCAGTCACTACACTTCACAATATATTCTGTAATGCTCTTTGAGATGCTACTCTGCGTTGAGGATGCCATATAAGTGCCAGTTGTTGTTGTCTCAACAACATGGTAAGGTGCTACATCAAATGTAAGGATTATCATTATTACCACTATAATTCTTGCCTGAAGCTACTTCGAGAAGCGCTGGATGTAAATGAATTTAAGAGCAGGAATAAGGTTCCCCTCAGATCACAGGAACTTTCAGAGACGGAAATGGTCACCGCAGTCCATTTGGCTGGTGACAACGTTAAAAAAAAATTGGTCTAGTCCTGGTGGGACTGTGGGAACGTCATTAGCGGATACAATTGATGGAAGTTGAATCATATGGATTGTAATGTTTATGTTCCATTACCAAGAACAAGGAGAGTGAGAGGAGAAGGGAGTGAAAGAGAATGTCCACTTTATCTCTTACTTGTTCTCTTCCGTGATCTTTATCCTCACATTCCAATCCTTCCCGACTTCTGTGACCTCCTGCACCCCTAATGCTCTAACGTAGTGCTGGGGGAAACGCTGCATTGTCAACAACAACAACTTGCACTTGCATAGCGCCCTTCACGCAGGGTAGCATCTCAGAGCGCTTAAAATTATCGTCCAGTATTGTCCCAATGCTGCACTAGAGCGTCAGCCTAGACTGTGAGCTCAATGTCCCAACTGGTCTGACTCAGCAGTGATTGTAACTAAGTTTGGAGTCTTGCAGCTTCGTGGTTAGAGCACTCGTCTCGCAAGCGAAAGGACGTGTTCGATTTCCGGCCGCAGCAAAACCTTAGGCAAACTTCCTTAGGTGCAAATTGACAGCTGCGTTTTGCCCACAAAATATACAGTCAATTCATTTTACACTATATACTGCGAATCAGCAGAGGAAAAGGCCATTCTTTCCATCATGCCTATCATGGATCTCTGAAAGAGCCATTAATATAGTCCCATTCTCCTGCTCTCCTTCTCCCCACCACCACCCCCCCAATTTGTGGATTCCCGTAGCGTTGTGATATGGTGGTGAAAAATCTTAAGCCACTTTCCTTACTCCACACACCTCTGCTTACCTAGCAGTATGTAGGAACCCGGATGTTAGTCAATGGTAGATGACTTTCCATGGGTAATAATCTCTTCAAAAAAAATAAATAAGATAAAACAAAATAAAAAAAATAAATAATTTGGTCACTCAATCCACGACTGTTTGTGGGAGGCTGCTGTACACAATTTGCTGCTGCGTTTAACCCCCACAAAAAATATACAGTCAATTCACTTTATAGTATAATTCTGTGAAGTACTTTGAGACGTCTCAACGATATGACAAGGAGCTATATCAAATACAAGGATTATTATTATTAAAACTAGGCCAAGCGACGCTTTCTCGGGGGTATGAGAAGTAAGTAGGGTCTCATTGGAGCTGAACTGGCTCCAAGATGACATGTTGGGTAATGTAATGTCAGGATCAAGCCAACCCTCTGTGACGGACTCCAGTCCGGTTTCTAAGCCACGCGGGTCCGCAGTATTCCAGGGCACTGCTGAAAACAGTCCGACCAGTCTGGCTCATCATTGGACTTGGAAAGACAGACCAGTCTCTTGGGGACAGAGATTCAACCCACTCAGCTCCTGGTAATACTGGAAACCAAAGCTCTAACGAGTAGGTTGGTCCTAACTGGACAGGCAGCAGGAAAGCTTGCCAGACCGTGCTCTCAATGGCAAACTATGTGGTTTAGCTGGTGAGATTCCAGCAATGCACAGACGCTGGGGTCTCCAAGCCTTGGCTCTTGCCAACCTGCGTCAAATACTCTCGCGAATTAGGTAAGCAGGAAGGGTCTCTCGAGACAGGGAGTGCGCATTCCATTCCAGTAAATATTTCTGGAATTTCCATACATAGGTGGGATGCATGGAACTTTGTTTGCTTAAGCCTGATGATGGGTTTCCGAATGTGTCAGTTAGCTGGCTGGCCATTTCAAAGTTTAGTGTGTTGCAATTTTTGGCATTTCAAGGGGTAGAAAGATGTAAGCTGAATCCAAGTGCTGGCCTGATTAATCCTGGAATCACAGCATAATGTTTTTCTTGTTATAACTAATCTAATAATTACTGCCATCCCCACGCTCTTAAGTGCTTTCCAGACCTCTATTGCATCCAACTTCTCTTTCATGTCTTTTCAAAAAAAGCAAAAGGCCGTCACACTTATGGAGAAGTGAACAAAATTGTGTGATTTTATATATTTACACGCGCCCCCACACCCCCCCCCCCCCGCCAAGGTCTCGCATTAGCTTCGGTTGTTGTTTTCAAGATGAGCTGAGGAGACATTGACTCCCTGGTCTCTCTCTGTTGTTGGAGAGGTGACAGCTAAGGAGCGCACTTAATAACACTTGCATTTGATATAGCGCCTTATCGCGTCATTGAGACATCTCAAATGGCTTCACAAAATACACTGAATTGACTGTATTTTGTGGGGGCGAAACACAGCAGTCAATTGCGCACAACAGTGTCCCACGAACAATCGTGGATTGAGTGACCAAATTATTATTTTTTCAGGAAAGGATTATTACCTCCGATTAGTGATCTGTCGATCGACTATCAACCGGGTTCCTACTTACTGCTAGGTAAACAGAGGCGTGTGGAGTAAGGAAACTTGTCGAAGCTCTTACTCCCTGAAGTTCAGGAACACTTTCCCTCAATCCCTCCGCCTTAGCCCCCCCCTCCCCTTTATCAAGTCTCGCCTGAAAATCTTCCTTTTCGACTGTGCTTATGGTTACTTTCCCCCCATCCTTCCCCCCTCCACCTCTGCTGGGATTCAGGCTCCAACACTGTTAAGTGTTCTGAGACGCTGCCCTGCGTGGAGGGAGCTATATAAGTGCGCCCAAGTTGTTGAAAGGTTTCACTCTGCCTGGGAATCGAATCCAGGTTGCTTGTGAGGCGATTGCTGTAACTAATACTCTATTAGTCGTATGCCCCACCATCACCTTTTCATCTATCGATACCTCCTACTGGTCAACCAAAGTTATGGTTATTCATAACTTTAGCAATTAGTTAGTTTCATATCCCATCATATCGCTACAGAGACATTAAGATCATTAGTAAAAAAAATATAAAGGGAAAGTTTCTTAGAGAGTTTTTACCCCGGCTGTAAAATACAATGAATGACCTACCAAATTACTGGTTAAAGGCTTTTGAAAGACAATTGGAGTAACATTTATAAAAGAATAATAATAATATATGCATTGTATATAAAGGGCTGTAGGGGAAAGTGCAGTAGAATACGGAAGAGATGCTCAGTGCAAATCTCTTGTAGAATCATGGATATTTACAGCACAGACAGAATTTCATGATTCCCACCTACACATGGAAATTCCAGAGATAGATTCCATTCTGACAATCTACCTCTGGAATTTCCATGTGTGGGTGGGATGCATGAAATGGTTTGGATACTCTTAAGCATGGCGATGGGTTTCCACACGTATCAGACACCCATCTGATCAAAGAAAATACAACACAGGAGGCCATTCGACCCATCGAATGCGCACTGGCTCCTAGTGCCTTTAATAAGTGCTGTGCCTTATTTCTCTGCGAGAACAAACTACTGAAATTTATCGCAAAACACTCAGAATAATCTGTATATTAAAGTGCAGATTAAGTTAAATCGTATCATGTAAAAAAAAATCTGTTACTAAAAGCAGAATCAATGCTGGATTTTCTTTCTCTTGCAGCACTGACACACAGCTCTTGGAAGAGGCAACAATTTCCATCTCCAAATCACTAAGTAAGTGTCTTAAGCTTCTTTCACTTTTATTGCATCGTTGCTTTGGTGAAAGCGAGAACCATAAGAACATAAGAAATGCAAGAAGAAAAAAGACCAAGGTCCATCTAGTTCGCCTTCCTGGCGGTCGCATGCACATATGTCCACAATTACCTATGTACTATATCCCATAATGTTATTCCCTAAAAGAAAACTATCTAATCTGTGTTTGAAAGAATCAACACATCCTGCTTCAACCGTCTCCCTAGGGAGCCTGTTCCGTTAGTGAACAGGTTCACTATTCGCTCACTGAAGTAGCGTTTGCATAGATTCGTTCTGAATTTTGTGGAGTCCTGTAGCTCAGTGGTTAGAGCACTCGCTTTGCAAGCGAAGACCTGAGTTCAATTCCAGGCAGAGGGCGAAACCTTGGGCAAGTTTCCTTACTCCACACAGAGCCTAATAATAATCCCTCCAAAGCCAAAACAATAATAAATCGGTCATTTTCAATCTACGACTGTTTGTGGGACATTGCTGTGCGCAATTGGCTGCCACGTTCGCCCACAAATATACAGTCAATTCACTTTACAGTGTGTTCTGTGAAGCGCTTTGGGACGTCCTCCCGACGTGAAAAGCACTATATCAAATGCAAGGATTATTATTATTATTATTATTAATTTACCCCCCTTTAAGCATAGGTCATGTCATCTGGTTTTACTATTCTGGGCAAGTTGAAACAGCTTGTCATGATCTATATTATTTTGCCCCTTTAGAATCTTAAAGACAGCAATCATGTCACTTCTCAATCTTCTCCTTTCTAGCATGAACATGCCCAATTTATCATCCACAGAAATATTTCTAGATCATTACTGGCACTTAACCAGAACCTGTCACTTCATAAATGAATATGCTGAAATGCCTTGCACAATACAGTTAGTTGGAGGTAAATGGTAGTAGTTATCTTAGCCAGCAATATCCTGCACCCAGTGACATATGCAGTTGATTAACTGGAATTTGGGATGAGGAGTGGAATAAATTGGGAGAAAGATTCCACATCTCTTGTGAAATAGAGACATGCAGGTCCACCCGAATCACAGGGTAGACTGGACCCAAAGCATAATCATCCCTGGATCCCCAGTGTTAGAAGAATGAGCCAAGAGCAACCATTAGACAAGATGGGGCCCTTCAGTCTTGAAAGGAGACATTTCACAGGGGACCTTGTAGAGTGTGTACAATTTTAAATGGAATTGAAAAATTATTTTAAACCCAGATTAATAGTTTAAGATGAACCCACACAACCAAGCACAAAGGACAGGGGTTTAGAGTTGCAAAGGGCAATTTCAGGACAGACATCAGGAAGTTTCTCCTTATCCAGAGGGCAATTAATGACTGTAACAGTCCCGTTTAGCTAGATAAGCAGCAGGAAAGCCTTGCCAGACAGTGATATCAATTGCAAGCTATTTTAGGTGATTAGACTCCAGCAGTTACACCAATGTACATTCTGGGGGCCTCAAGCCTTGGCTCTTGCCAACCTGCACCTATTATTTTCCGGAATGAGGTAAGCAGACGCATCCCTCCAGGGAGAGAGAGCGCATTCCATTCCAACAATCTATCTCTGGAATTTCAATGTGTGGATGGGATGCAGGGAATTCTCAGTTTGGTTTGGATACTCTTAAGCACGGCCTTCCCGCCACCTCCCTCCACAAGCTGCAGGTCATTCAGAACTCTGCAGCTCGTGTACTGTCCCGCACCAGGCTTCGGGACCACATCACTCCCACCCTCGCTCGCCTCCACTGGCTCCCCATCCCCCAGAGGATTGACTTCAAGATCCTCATCCTCACCTACAAGGCCATTCACTGCCTCGCTCCCTCCTACCTCTCCAACCTACTATCCCCCTACCTACCTGCCCGTACCCTCCGTTCCTCTGGCTCTGGTCTGCTCCACGTCCCCCGCCCCAACCGCCCTACCCTCGGTGGTCGGGCCTTCAGCCTCTCAGCCCCCAGGCTCTGGAACTCCATCCCCCAGTGCCTTCGCCGCCTCCTCCCTTTCCTCCTTCAAGGCCAGTCTCAAGACCTTTCTCTTTGACTGTGCCTTCAGCTCCCCTCTCGACTCTCTTCCCCCTCCTCGCTCCCTCCCTTCCCTCCCCTCACCCTGACCATTTCCCCCCTCCTCGCTCCCTCCCTTCCCTCCCCTCACCCTGACCATTTCCCCCCTCCTTGCTCCCTCCCTTCCCTCCCCTCACCCTGACCATTTCCCCCCTCCTCGCTCCCTCCCTTCCCTCCCCTCACCCTGACCATTTCCCCCCTGCTCGGGTCATGACCCAACTGTGCAGCGCCTTGGGACGTCCTCCTGACGTGAAAGGCGCTTTATAAATGGAATCTTGTTGTTGTTGTTGTTGATGGGTTTCCACATGTGTCAGACACCCGACTGACCAAAAAAGTAACAACAATCCCATTTAAAATATTGTGAATTGAGGTTTCGAATACTGAAGTTTTTGACCCTCATATTTCCTGTTGGCCTTCATTCATCACTTCATTCCCAATGTCCTCTTTTTAATTTTCTAAGTGTAATTTCAATCTTGTTTCCTTATAAAATCCACGGCACAAGGCTGATGTTGTGTATATTCCGTCCTTTAGTTGAGAACAACCCACGAACGGGGAACTTGCAAGCTCTGGTTAAGGTTTTCCTCAGCAGAACTAACGAGCTAAAGATCTCAGCTGAATGTCAAGAGTAAGTATATTAACAAACAAAGCAGAATCCACTCTCCTCTACATCTCTAAACGTTTGGTAGAATCCACTGAGGCCTACATCCCTGTTGATAGAATCCACTCTTCCTTATGTCTCTAACTGTTGGCATGTTGAAACCCCATCCCCTAGAGAATTTTCACCCACAAAAAAAACACAACACAGAAGGAGGCCATTCGGCCCATCGAATGTTCACTGGCTCCTAGTGCCTTTAATGGGCGGCATGCCCTCATTTCTCTGCAAGAACAAAATATACAGTCAATTCACTTTACATTCTATTCTGTGAAGCGCTTTGAAACGCAAGAATTATATTATTATTATAAGTTCAATACCGCGCCTTTGGTCACCCTTCTGCCCCTACCCTCCCTGCTCTCCACTCCTCCTGACCTAAACCCCAGCTCAGGTCCAAATTCCTGAACGTCCAGCGCCTTGGGACGTCCTCCCGACGTGAAAGGCGCTGTGTAAATGCCAATTGTTGTTGTTGTCCTGACTGGCCAGATCATCCACCGTATCCCCTCTTCATGTCCTGCGTGCCTTCCTCCTATTAGCCAGGCTGTGTGCAATGATGACCCTGCGCTTCTTATTCCATTGGCACTCAATGTTAAGCATTATTCACAAGGCTCATTGCCTGTAGTTGAATTCACGGCGGTCGCTGTGAGGAATAGTTTGTATTGCAATAACCAAACCCCCTCCCCTCCCCACTCCTTCCCACTGTTTGATGTCCTCGAACACAGTTTATTTTCCCTGGATATAAATTGTGGCTTGCTGATTCTGCTCATACTTGTGCTTTTTCCCAACAGCCAGTTGTTTATCTGGCAGGCCCACAATGCCTTGTTTATCATCCGATGTCTACTCAAAGTCTTCATCAGCCAGATGTCGGAGGAAGAGCTGCAGCTCAACTTCACTTATCAAGAGAGGGCGCCAGCCGCTTATGGTGAGCAAAGGAAAAGAGGCCGTCGTGCTTTCATCTGGAACCGTTTCACAGGAACCGCTGTCAAACTAAGCATTGCTCCTGATGATAATAATAATAATCCTCGCATTTGATATAGCCCCTTATCACGACTTTGAGACGTTTCAAAGCACTTCACAGAATATACTGTAAAGTGAATTGACTGTATGGTTTCATATGAGAAGGAACCTCAAGCGCTTCACAGGATTTACATAAAGTGTAGTGACTGTACATGTAGGCATACGTAATTGTCAACTTTCACACAGAAAGATTCCCACATATCCATAGTCAATGACAGTTGCTCTTAAGGATTATTGACACCTGGAGAAAGTCCCATGTCCCCTGTGTCACAGAATCTTTAGCGTTCATTCGAATGCGCAGACAGGATGGTTTGTTGCTTCGCCTCCAACAAAGTGGCGCTCCCACTCTAACTGGAGTGGTCAGCCTAGACTGTGAATTCAACGTCCCCATCTGGGGCTTGACCTTCTGAGTCAGAGACAAGATTTATATCAACTGAGACAGGCCAATATCTGTAGAGTTATATCCTGGTAACAATAATATATTAATAATCCTTGCAGCATTGACACGTCTCAAAGTACTTCACAGAATATATTGTAAAGTGGATTGACTATATCTAATAGAAAGGATTTAAAATACTAGACTTAACTAATCCTCGCATTTGATATTGCATCTTATTACATTGTCACAATGTCTCAAAGGGCTTCACAGGATGAAGCGTAGTGATGTATTCTGTTGGCGAATGCGGCAGCCAATTTTTGCACCACATTATCCTACAAACCGCTAATAAAGGGAGTGATTAATTTTATTTGGGGGATTGTTGGCCAGGACACAGGAAGAAACTCCTTTCTATTCAAACAGTGCTATGGGATCTTTTAACATTGACCTGAACAGGCACAGTCAGATCCTCGATTTTATGTTTCACCCGAAATACAGCATCTCCAACCAGTGCAGTGTATTGGAGTGTCAGTCAGCCTGGATCATTAGTCCAAAATCGAGGGGCTTGAACCAATCGAGGGGCTTGACTCAGAGGTCACAAGATCGGTTTGGATGAAGAAGCCCCTTCAGCCCATCCGATCTCACCTTCCAGAACACCCCGTTCCCCCCTATAGAAGGATAAATTAAAGAAGTAAAATGAGCTCCTCCTCCCACCCCAGCTGAAAATTCTGTCAAACAGCAAAGGGGTGATATGCGTTACAGTAAATAGCTGAATTGTGGTGGTCAGAATACTTTGAGTTTCACTGCACAGCAGCTGTATGTTTGCCAGGATTCCTGGCATAATGTCGCTTGGCACTTATAATGCAAACAAGTTTTGTTTATGAGGAGGTCAGTGCAGTTACTGCGCACTATAACCTGGTGTCCTGGATACTCTGTATATTTTTTTTGTGAAGAAAAGGGCTGGCTCAATTATTTCAGTGGTTTCCGCCGCCGTTGCTGTGTCCTCAACAAAACAGACTTGTTTACAGTCTCTGCTGGGGCTAAATATTTGTGTTTCAAGTCCTGACAGACGGACATTGGGCTAGAGCAATGTACCCATGACGTGGTGGACTGTCTGGTCTCTGTGCAATTGTACTGCTATTATTAAGGGGATTCATTACTCCTATTTGCGCCTTTCACGTCTGGAAGACCCCCCGAAACACAGTAACAGTACTTGGTCTCGGAAAACAGTGGAGCTGACTCGATGGGCTGAATGGCATTCTCCTGTTTCTAAGTTTCTCGTCCTGGAGCGTAGTGGTTAGGGCACTCGGCTCGCAAGCGAGAGGACCCAGGTTCGATTCCCGGGCAGACCAAAAACTTAGTCAAGTTTCCTTGCTCCACGTGCTTGTGTTTACCTAGCAGTAAGTAGGAACCCGGTTATTAGTCAGTTGACCGATCTCTTTCCAGGAGCAATAATCCCATAAAAAAGAAATTTGGACCCAATCCACGCCACGTTTTGGGACGTCCTCCCGATGTGAAAGGCATGTGTCATTTTGTTGTTGTTGTTGACACTGCTGTGGGCAATTGGCTGCCACTTTTCGCCCATAAAAATATACAGTCAACTCATTGACAGTGAATTCTGTGAAGTGGTTCGAGACGTCTCAATAGGGTGCATCAAATGCAAGGATTATTATTATATTATATTGTAGTTTGTGAGGACTGAGAGAAGGGAAGGAGGTTATGAAACCCAGATCCTCCGACAAAATTATAAAAGAGAAGAGCTTGTCACCTTGTCCTAGGCTTCAATCCTCCAAATTGTGGGACCTTGTGTGTGCAAATGGCTGTCAGGTTTACCTACGAATATAGTCACTACACTTGACAGTGAAGTGCTTGGAGATGGTTTGACTTGAGGAAGTACAGAATTGCAAGTTCTTTCATTCTATTTTCTTTTAACAACTTTACAAACTTAATTGCTTTTGTTGCTAAATAATAATAATAATCCTTACATTCGATAAAACGGTTTATCACGTGGTCAATAATAATAATAATCCTTGAATTGATATAGCGCCTAATCATGTCTTAAAGACAATAACAACTTGCATTTATAGAGCGTTCTCCACTCCGGGCGGCGTATCAGAACGCTTTACAGAATATATTGTAAAGTGAATTTTGTGGGCGAAACCCGGCAGCCAATTGCGCACAGCAGTATCCCATAAACAGTGTGGAATGAGTGACCAATTTATTATTAGTATTTTTTTAAGCATTTATTACCCCGGAAAAACGATCCGGCAATCGACTAACAACCAGGTTCCTACTTATTTCGTGGAGTCCTGTAGCTCAGTGGTTAGAGCACTCGCTTTGCAAGTGAGAGACCTGAGTTCAATTCCAGGCAGAGGGCGAAACCTTGGGCAAGTTTCCTTACTCCACACAGAGCCTAATAATAATCCCTCCAAAACCAAAAACAATAATAAATTGGTCATTTTCAATCTACGACTGTTTGTGGGACATTGCTGTGCGCAATTGGCTGCCGCGTTTGCTCACAAATATACAGTCAATTCACTTTACAGTGTGTTCTGTGAAGCGCTTTGGGACGTCTTCCCGACGTGAAAAGAGCTATAGCAAATGCAAGGATTATTATTATTATTACTGCTCAGTAAACAGAGGTGCGTGGAGTAAAGAAACTTGCCCAACATTTCGCCCTGCTGGGGAATCAAACCCAGGTTTCTCGTTTGCGAGGGAAGTGCTCTAACCACTTAACTGCAGGACTCCATGTGCTTTCTGTTCTTGTTCTCTGGAACTCTATTCCAGAGTCCCTCCACCTTATCCCTCCGTTGTGTCACCTTGCTCTCACCTTTAAACTACCTTATGATCTAGCGTTTCAGCCACCTTTACCCTCCTCCTTCAGGTTCCCCCACCCCATACTAACGCTCCCAGTCGGCTCTGAGAAGTGCTTTGTGATATCCTTGCGATGCTATATAAATGTAGAATTGCATTATTGATGATGAATGCTTTGCTCTTTCAGGGGCTGAAGCGGAAGATCTCCTGGAGGATGTGATGTGCACTCTTGTGCACCTCATCATTGAACTGCCCTTACTGTAAGTCTCTGTGCTAATGTAACACTTCACTTGTGCGCTTTCCTCCATAGGTTACAGAGCAAAAATCAGCCATTCGGTCTGAGCTGTGATATTTTCTCTATATTGGACACCTCGTCTAAGCCCAGTCTTCGCTCACTTCCATACCTGTTAATGTTCTTCATTTTCAATTTAATTTCACTTTAAAGTAATTTATGGATCTTGCGTGAATGGTTTGTGGCAGTGCAGGGCAAGTAGATCACAAGTCTTCAGAGTTCCCAACAATGTGCCTTTCATAAAATCTTACAAAATTACAAAATTAATAATAATCCCTCCAAAAAAGAAAACAATAATAAATTGGTTATTTTTCAATCCACGATTGTTTGTGGGACACTGCTGTGCGCAATTGGCTGCCGCGTTTCGCCCACAAATATACAGTCAATTCACTTACAGTCTATTCTGTGAAGCGCTTTGAGACGTCTAGAAGACGTGAAAAGCGCTGTATCAAATTCAAGGATTATTATTATTATTACAGCACGAAAGGAGGACATTCGGCCCATCATGCCCGTGCCGGCTCTTTGAAAGAGCTGTCCAACAAGACTCACTCTCCCGCCCTTACTCCAGAGCTCTGCAATTTTTTTTCTTTACAAGTACATATCCAATTCCCTTTGAGAGCTACTATCGAATTTGCTTCCACCATCCTTTCAGACAGTGGATTCCAGATCGAAACAACTCTCTGGGTAAAAAAAAATTCTTCTTGGCTCACCTCTGGTTCTTTTATCTCACCACCAAATGACAATAAAACATCCTTACAATGGCCAATGAACATTAAAGGCGCTTTACAAATATAATCATGTTGTTGTTGTAGAGTGACTATACAGACCAGAATGTTACATGTTTGAATCCCAGTGGGTACTGAGTTAACTTGGCATCTCTGTTTTTTTACATTTGCTACCCATTTAGCATCTGGTGTATCATATGTAGTCTCTCTGCTTTACTCACTCCTTCCCCTCTTCAAGACCTGTCTCAAAATATATTGTCAAACATCTTTGAGACGTCCTCATGATGTGGCAAGTGCTGTATAAATCTATATTGTGTATGAGTTAACTTTTCTCCTTTTTTTATAGTTTCCTCTAACTCTGGGAATCCTCCTAATTGCTCTCCCCTGCACTGTCTTTAGGGCCAGGGCATTGCTTCCCTTGTGTTAAGACAGCCAGAACTGTGTGGATAACAGTAATGTACAGCTTGTGTTCTATCTGTTGGTGAAGAATTACTTCTCCACTGTGGCATTGGCTGAGATCGTTGTGTACTGTGTTGTTGTTTGCAATACAACACAGTGGGAGAGAGAGAGCGAGAGCACTTCATTATAATTCCCAGCCTCTCCCCCGCAGGCTTGTACCAAGAGCTGCCCTCAAAGAGCCATTGGACTGAAAGCTATTAAAGTACTTTGTTGTTATTGCTGAATGTCAATAAATTCTGCTTTCCAGTGAAATTGGCAGAAGATTTGCATCTGCCTTTTGCCAGCCTCCGCATATAGGCCAACACATTGGGCACAAGGGAAGGAAGGCTAAATTGCTGCTGTATATCAAGCCAGCAAAGGACTCCATTAGTGGAAGAAGTGTTTTAAAATTTGGTCTTGAATGTAGCGTATTGGTTAGAGCGCTTGCCTCGTAGTGACAAGTTATCCAGAGTGACAAGTTAGGCATATATATGAATACATAAATAAATGCTGCTGGGATATTGACGATGTGTTAAGGCGCTATATCACATGCAGGGATTATTATTATCCTGAAGTTTAAATCCCTTCATTTGCCCGCTCCCTCCTCCCCCCTCTCTACCTCTACTGTGGTCGGTCCTAAACAATAGTCTCATTTTTTTAAACAGTTTTCTCGATGCAAAAACGTTTAATTGTGAGTTCTGAACCATCAAATGTGCTGAAGAATGCATTGCAGGTTCGAAGTTCAATAATTTTCTCTGCAAACAATCTGTTCAGAGCAGCTCAGGCAGACCCCATTGTTTCTTTTTAAGGTTCTCTTGGGAAATGGCTTCATGATGGTAAAAGGTGGGGAGGAGGGATCAAACGATAAAACAAATTGTTCCTCAGTTTTTCATTAAAAACTCTGGAACAATGAGAATCCCAACAACACCCAGTTATATCACTGTTAACCCTTGTTGGGAGCCTGGAAAATTTCCAAGTAAGTTGCGTAGGAGTTCTGTAATGGATGGACATGTAAAGTTGGGAGTGTTTGTGGAAAGACACAACAACTTGCTTTTATAAAACGCCCTTCATGCAGGAAAACATGAAGTGCTTCACAGTCACAAAGTTAGATGCCAAACTAAAATGAAGTGTGTGTGAGTGTTTATGTGTGTGTGTGTGTGTGTGTAGGGGTGGGAGCGAGTGTCTATAATAATAGCAATCCTGAAATAGGTGGGATGAAGAGGTAGGTTTTTAGGTGGGATTAGACGATAAATAGAGAGGCCGAGGGATAGAGGCAGGGAGCTCGAGGTGGATGTAATGACTGAAGGCTTGACCACCAATAGTGGAATATAAAGGCACACAGTTGGGACCATTTTTGAATGGACAAATTCAAATTGGGACTTCAAATTGTGCCAGTCGGGCTCATAGGGTTGATAGTAAATCTTTTTACACTGAGGTTTTACAGGATACCTGATCATAGGTGGTTCCTGAAGACAAGACCACAGTAACATTTGGAAGGGAATTGGGCAAAGGTAACATAATTGGTCATGGGTGAGGGGAAAGAGCAGGGTAAGCTGGTTTGGAGCCTACATTTTGAGTGTGTGTTTGTGTGTGTGTGTATAAATGATAAGCTATGCAGATTTAGCTGGTCCCCAAGCCTTGGCTCTTGCCGACTTATGCCTAATATTAGGTAAGCAGGATGTGCCCCTCCAGGGAGAGAGTGAGAGAGCGCATTCCATTCCAACAATCTATCTTTGGGATTTCCATATGTAGGTGGGATGCAGGGAATTCTCAGCTTGGTTCGAATACTCTTAAGAATAGTGATGGGTTTCCGCATATGTCAGACACCACCTGCCTGACCAAAAAAAAATGTGTGTGTGGGGTTGAAGGGAGGGTTGCTGGAAAGAAGAGAGGGAGAGCTGGCATACTATAGCCCAGTGTGCAGCTTCAGAGGTGGAAAATCTCATCTTGCTTTAAGCCATCATTGTCATGTCCTGTTTCCCATCAGTGGGTGATTGCCGTTTAGAGCTCGGGCCTCCAGGTTGACATGTGCTCCAGCAACTTGACCTGCAGGAAGGATAGGCTAAAAGCCTGGTTCCTGTGTGATTTTTAAAATATTTATTTAGATCGACTCTTTTTGGCATTGTTCGTGAATTACATAAGTGCTTTTTTGAGACTGCGAAATAATGACTCCTTGTTCAAGAAGGGGCGGAGGGAGAGGTTTTGCAACCTCTGTGATTATGGACATAGTTTAACAGCACTTTAATAATAATAATAATAATCCTATAATACTATGATGGGTAGCGCCTTATCACGTCTTTGAGATGTCTCAAAGCCCTTCACAGAATATGCTGTAAAGTGAATTGACTGTATATTCTGTGGGTGAAACGCAACAGCCAATTTCGCACAGCAGTGTCCCACAAACAGTCGTGGATTGAGTGACAAAATTATTATTTTTTTAATTTATTTTTTTGAAGCAATTTTGTTGCCCCCAGTAAAGCGATCCTCCAATCGACTTTAACAGCCGGGTCCTTACTTACTGAGTAGGTAAACTGGCGTGTGTAGTAAAGAAACTTTCCTAAGGTTTCACCCGGAAATCGAACCCAGGTCCTCTTGCGAAGTGAGCATGCTAACCTATATGTTATAATATGCTATAAATTGCCGTTGAATATAGTGATTACTTATAGACAAACACAGCAGCCAGTTTCCACATACAGGTATGAAATGAAAGACCAATTTTATTCAGGGATGAATTTTGTCTTTGGGGAAAGGTCAGCAACTGCAATCTTCATTTTCAAAGTCCTTCACTCCTCCCTACCTCTGTGACCTGCTTACTCCAAACTGACCTGTGTGCTTTCTCCGCTCAGCGGACTCTGGCCTCTTCCATGTCCACCGCTCTTCCTGCCCCACCACTGGCAGTCGGCCCTTCAGCCTCTCCGCCCCGCTCTTTGAAATTCATCCCACATTCCTATCACTTCGCCTCCTCCCTTGCCTCCTTTAAGATCCATCTCAAGACCCTCTTCGACTACCCCTTTGGTCACCCTCCTACCCTCACATTCCCTGCCCTCCACTTCACCTGCTCCCAACCCTCCAGCTCGAGTGTAGAGCCTTGATTGTCTAGTGTATTGGGATGTCCTCCCAAGGCGCTATACAAATATAATTTATTGTTGAAAGGGCTGCTGCTTTTGAGCATCAGAAATGACAGCTCACCCCACAGGAGCCAGCTTGGCCAGGCTTTTGGCAGGCACAGCCCTTTGTCTTTCCCCTTTGCCTCCGAACGCCTCATCACCTTGTGTCATCTGAGGGATTGTCGGCCAGGACACCAGGAGAGACAAACTCCCTACTCTTTTCCAATTGTGTCGCGGGATCTTTAATGTGCACCTGAACAGGCACACATGGCACCTTGGTTTAAATGTGTCATCCAATCAATGGCACCTTTGAAACGCAGTGCTCCCTACACTCCTCACACCCAGCACCCAGCACCCAGCATTGCACTGGAGCGTCAGACGGAATGCTCTCCGCTGAGCTCCCTGTTTGGTGAGGTAGGACGCAGAGGGAATGGTGGTGGGGATGGGTCTGTGTGTGTGCGCTGTGTTGTGTTGTATTTCCTGTGGCAGGAGCAGCACAGTTAGCCTCCAGCAATGGAAATCTGGCCAGGCAGTTGCACAACACTGACCACTGACGTGGCCATGTGCCTCCTGTTTACTTTGGTTTGCCGTTCATTAGCGAGTCGAGTTAAGAGAATCCTTTTTTTCCTCTCTCTGTCCACATTGGCATCGCTCTGATTCCTTACTCATTCCCCATTCAGAACTACTTCACATTAAAGTCTTTCACCGACCCTAACCAGTTTTCTAAAAATAATCTGTTTGCCCATTGTTAAAACTGCAGGGATTTCCAGAAGATTTTTCTTTGCTACACAGTGTATAAGGGGAGCTAGGATATATTGTGAAGTGGATTGGCGAAATGCACAGCAGTGTCCAGCAAACAGTCGTGGATTGAGTGACCAATTTTTTTTTGATGGGTTAATTCCCCAGAAAGTAATTCGACAATTGACTAACAAACGGATTCCTACTTACTGTGGTAAGGAAATTTGACTAAGGTTTCCCCCCGTCAGGAATCGAACATTGACGCTATGGGACTCCACCGTTTGGGGTGGTTGGGGGGGAGAAGGAGGGCAGGAGAATGCGAATAAATTGACGGCTCTTTTAGAGGTCGATCATAGTCATGGACAGAATGGCCTTTTCCTCTGCTGTGAATTTTTGTGTTTGTAACTTGTAAGAAAAGGATGCTCCCGCTATTCTCTGTGACTGCTAATAATATAATAATAATGATAATCCTTGCATGTGTCCCACAAACAGTCCTGGATTGAAGTGACCAAATTATTATTTTTACTTATTTTTTAAGGATTTATTACCTACGGAAAAGCGGCTCCTACCAACCGGGTTCCTACATTTTGCTAGGTAAACAGGAGTGTGGAGTAAGGAAACTTGCCCAACATTTTGTCCTGCCTGGGAATCAAACCCAGGTCTCCCGCTTACGAGGCGAGTGCTCTAACTACTGAGCTATAGGACTCCACAGATGTAATTCTTGATGTCATTCCACCTGTCACTGTCACTGTCACCTTAAGACCTATATTTTGGACTGCACGTTCGGTCAACTTATACCCCTCCCCACCATCGGGCCTTCAACCTCTCTGCTCCTTGGAACATCCTCCTAATGTGAAAGGTGCTGTGTAAAACTAATTTGTTGTTGTTATACCAAATGTGTGGGTTGTTGTAAAATTGTTGTCCACATGTCTGAGTTTGTGACTCTCTGTTTACAGAGATATCACCTACAGCATTTTACTGGAATCTGTGACGACGCTTCTCGTACTTCTGTCCTACCAACTGTTCCAGAAGGAAATAGCACGAGAAAGTTTCATATACAAGTGTTTGATGCAAGGCCGATGGTATGTATGATTTTGCTAGACTCTTAAGACTTCTAGAACGTTTTTTTAAATCTGCACGTGCCTTGCATATATTAATGTTTTGGAGAGGGGTAGCAATAACAACAGCGCTTTTCAGATTGGAACGTCTCAAAGCACTTCACGGAGCTGACTGGTAGCTCAGACTGGGGGTTGGGGGAGCTAATGGTCAAGAAGAAATGTCTTATGGCAGCTTTGAAGGCGGGGAGAATGGGGGCAAAGAGTTGGTTAATAGGTTGGCTCCCAACTCTCTTCACTCCACTGGTCTTCAATGTGCAAGCCCCTGCCACTTCTAAAACCTCTTTGAGTTGTTACCTACCTCTCTCGCTCTCTCTCTCCCCCTCTCTCAGCTTTCACATAGGGACACATATGTAAGATAACGATGAGGGGAGTCTAAAAGAGAATTTAGGAGGAACTACTAGAGGGTATTAGAATTTACCAGGTGCAAAGGGTAGTTAGATCATGGAACATGCTGCCTGAATAGCAATCGACTCAGTATCAGTTCGTATTAGTTGAAGCAGTTAGTGTAGAGCATCGATCGCCCCCTTCTCTGGTTTTTTCCCCCTCACCGCGCTCGCTCGCCCTCCTCGATCTCTCTCCGCACCTGTTTCTTTTGCACACCTCACTGCTTGCTGTGTGGTTTCTGTTTATAGTAACTCTTTTGCCAGTAGGTGGTGCAAGGCCGCTATATATAAACTGCCTCATCACAAATCCCACAGTACAAGGTACACAGACTAATAATGATCCTTGCTTTTGACACAGCGCCTTAGCATGTCATTGAAATGTCTTGAAGTGATTCACAGGAATTTTTTTGCTATGTAGTGTAATAAGTGTAGGTGAACACAGCAGCCAATTCACATAAAACGACAGCAGCATTTAATAATAATCCTTGCATCTGATACAGCTCCTTATCACATCGTTGAGACGTCTGAAAGCACTTCACAGAATACACTGTAAAGTGGATTGACTGTGTATTTGTGCGCACAGGAGTGTCCTACAAATAGTCGTGGATTGAGTAACCAAATTTTTTTTTAAGCGATTATTACCCAGTAAGCTGCTCCGCGTGAAGGACGTGATATAAATTGTAGTTTCTATATAGCTCCTTTCATGTTGGTAGCATTTTGGAGCATTTAAGAGCAGCGTCACTTGATGCTGAGTTAGAAAGAGAGAGGATGTGATTGAAGACATGGCCGAAGAGGAAAGTCTTCAGGGATTTGAAGCAACGAGTTGCAGAAATTAGGGGATATGTGGTTGAAAGCACAGACGGTAATTGTGGAACGTAGAGGACGATGGATGTGCAGAAGACTCAAGCCAGTTGAGTGACGGCGGCAGGTAGAGCGGTGAGAAGTGAGCAGAGCAGGGTATAAACTCAGCCAATTTATGTACAGCAATGGCCCACAAATAGTCATTAAGTGAATGACCAGTTTTGTCTAGGGGATTGTTGGCTAGGACACTGGGAGAAACTCTCTGCTGTTTTTAAATAGGGCCATTTTTCTAACATCCAACTCAACTGCCAGTTTAATGTCTCATCCGAAGGATGGCACACCTCCCTCCACCCCACCCCAGCAATGCATTGGAGTGTCATCTTAGACAAGGAGCTCAGAGTCCTGACGTGGTGTTTGAACCCACAGATTTCTGACTCAGAGGCGACCAACTAAGCCAGGCTGAATAAGAACGAAAGCCTGCATTTCATAGCTTCTTATCGCATCGAGACATCTCAAAGCTCTTCCTGCTAACGCTCACCCCCCCCCCCCCCCCCCCCAAAAACAATCCCTCGAGTCCTTTGCCATTTTACTTGAATGTTTTTACAGTGTTTTAGAATTTGGCTCGGACCCGATAGGCCAAATGGCCCCCTTCTGCTGCACAGTAAAATGAATGTCTGTTTCTAATTTCTCCACACATCCAGCTGTGAAGTTTTGACACATGAGCTGATGGCTGGGAAGAGCTTGAGATGCTTTGCTTTGATGTGTTGTTCCCACCCTTTGCCATAGCAACACAATGCTGCTTACTTCGGGCCGTTTGCAGATGTTAACGGTATAAAGTTTCATATTTCCACCAAAGTAACCCACGAGTCTATTCTTTACAACCTCTCCACAGTTTCCTTGGTTACATATGTCATGTGATCTATTATAATAATACTTGCATTTGATGTAATAATATAATAATGATCTTTGTATTTCATACCAAGCCTTTGACTTATGGAGATAGTCTCAAAGGGCTTTGTAGAATTTAACGTAAAGTGTAGTGACTCTCTATTTTGAAAGCGATCAATTAATACTGTAAACAAACACTTTTGCCAGCAAAATACACAGGTCGGTAACATTTCCCCTTTGAGACATTTTCACATTGTAGGGGTTTTGCCCGCACAATAGACAGTCAACTCACTTTACAGTATAATCTATGAAGCGCTTTGGGACGTCTCAAAAACGTGATAAGGCGCTATATCAAATGCAAGAATTATTATTATTGTAGGTGCTGTGTCAGTTGCGAGGGCTATTCTCTCTGGCTGTCAAACCATCCCATCTGCATCTGAATGTTCTCAAGCGGATTTTAATGTAATGTCCGCTTAGTTGTGTAATTATTTTTAGTCTATTATCTGGAGACAACCCTGCTCGCCTCAAGCGATGATCTTTTAGATGGCTCCCAAGCATTCTCGCTAGTGATAATGCTTCTCAGATGCTGCAAATGTTCTCTCCCCACAATATTCTCGGATCACATACCACTGAGAGCTGCACAGACCCATTGCTTGTCAGAGTAACTTCCAGTGGAAAGTTTGAGCTTTCACATCCCTTCACAGCCTCGCCCCACCTTGCCTCTGCAACCTCCTGCAATCCTTCCCCTTGCTCAGCAAGCACCGGCCTGCACTGTGTCCCCTGCGTTAACCCCCCTCCATCCATCGCTATTCTGTCTCCGCTCTCTGGATCGCCTTCCCAGAATCTATCCAACTCACACCTTCCTACTTTTAAAGTTTACCTTAGCACTTGTCTCTCTGACTCGCTTTTTGCCTTCCTCTCCCCCCGCCCAACACTCTTCAAATCCCTCCCCCAAGCTTGGGTTTCCCCCATCTTTAATTAGGGCCTGAAGACCTTTCTCTTTGACCGTGCTTATGGTCACCTCCCCCCCCGGCTCGGTGTCATGCTCCGCCACTGTCAAGCGCTCTGAGACGCTGCCCTGCATGAGGGGTGGTATATAAATGCAAGTTGTTGATTGGTTTCCAGCCAGCTGTCCTCCCTCCGTGTAACGTGCTATAGAAGTGTAACTTGTTCTGTATTTCATTCTGCTGCCTCTTCTGCTTCTCTTCACAGCCTTGAGTACACCAGCCGGGTGGTGAAGACGTTATTGTACAACTTCATAAGGCAGGAGAAATGTCCACCCTCAGGGAGCCGGGTATTTGAGCAGAGCTCTGAGGGAGGTGGCTTACTGTACGGCTTAGCATCTGGTGTGGCCTGTAAGTACATTACCTGACGAGGGAGTGGGAAACTATCAAGCGCGGCGCTCTGGGACGCTACCGTGTGTGAGGGATGCTATATAAATGCTAGTTGTTGTTACTGTAGTTATTTACTCCAGTTGGAATCAGCCCCATTGTGTGTAAGCAAACAGTGTGGATAATTGGTCAACATTCAAATACAAATTGGCTACAGCACCAACCAAAAAATGTTCATGTCCGTGTGCGCAACTGGAATTTTTTGCCAATATTGCAGCCCCATGTCCACTTCCACATCAAGGTGGAGTCCTGTCGCTCAGTGGTTAGAGCACGTGGCTCACAAGCAAGACAGCTGGGTTCGATTCCCAGCAACAACAACAACAACAACAAGATTCCATTTATAGAGCGCCTTTCACGTCAGGAGGACGTCCCAAGGCGCTGCACAGTTGGGTCATGACCCGAGCAGGGGGGAAATGGTCAGGGTGAGGGGAAGGAAGGGAGGGAGAGAGGAGGGGGGAAGTGGTCAGGGTGAGGGGAGGGAAGGGAGGGAGCGAGGAGGAGGAAGAGAGTCGAGAGGGGAGCTGAAGGCACGGTCAAAGAGAAAGGTTTTGAGACCGGCCTTGAAGGAGGAAAGGGAGGAAGCAAGGCGAAGGCACTGGGGGATGGAGTTCCAGAGCCTGGGGGCTGAGAGGCTGAAGGCCCGACCACCGATGGTAGGGCGGTTGGGGCGGGGGACGTGGAGCAGACCGGAGCCAGAGGAACGGAGGGTACGGGCAGGTAGGTAGGGGGATAGTAGGTTGGAGAGGTAGGAGGGAGCAAGGCCGTGAATGGCCTTGTAGGTGAGGATGAGGATCTTGAAATCAATCCTCTGGGGGATGGGGAGCCAGTGGAGGCGAGCGAGGGTGGGACATTGGGCAAGTTTCCTTACTCCAAATGCCTGATAATAATCCTTCAAGAAAAAAAAATTGGTCACTTCAATCCACGACTGTTTGTAGGACGCTGCTGTGCGCAATTGGTTGCCGCATTTTTCCCACAAATATATAGTCAATTCGCTTTACAGTATATTCCTTGAAGCGCTTTGAAATGTCTAGAAGACGTGATAAGGTGCTATATCAAATGCAAGGATTATTATTAATAAGGCCCAGTGTGGAGTAGTGATAAAGCTTCATCCTCAAATGTGTGTGAGAAACCCACAGTATATTTATATTGCTTAGGACAGACACGGTGATCCAACCTTTTGACTACTGAGGACCGGATGCCTATTGAGAAATGTCCACGAGCCACACAAGCAGTAGTTTGTGTTTCCCTTCCAAAAACATAACATAACATTTGCAGCTTATGGAGGGACCGGGTGGGCCAGATGAAATGGAGGGCGGGGGTGCCGGATGTGGCCCGCGGGCCGCCAGTTGGACCACCCTGGCTAAAGATGTGTTTTAAAACACAAAGTAGTGTCACGTTTCTATGGTAGGCTTTTGGGGTGTTGCTGAGTTAGTCAGGAACTAAGCAGTGACAGTGACAGACCCCTTGTCTGTTTTATTATAAACAAAGGTTTGCTTATCGCGTGTTTGATGTTTACTTCATCTGAAAATCCCAAAGCTGAGCAGTTCACTTTCAAAAGTTGGCTCATGGAAAGACAAAATGGCTGACCATTAGGTCATCGGATCACAGCCGACACCACTTCCTGTGCCTGTGCCACACACAGGAAGTGCCTGATGACCTGAAGTCGGCCGTTTTTATGCGGCAAGTGGACACACGCAGTGAATGTAGTCGTGGCCACTGCAAGGTTGGAATTGATGAATCTCAAACTGTCACTTTATAACTCGGCTCCACTGTAAAATTTCCTTCTTCTCTTCCCACCCGGATTCGACAATCGATGGGCTTTAAGATAACGTTTGGGATAGATTTCAGTTAGTTACTGCAGGGAGAATGTACCACCAGAGAACATTGAAAATCATTTTAATTTATGTTATGAGGTGCAATGTCCAATTTCTGTTCAAGTCTCTGTTGCGCTATTTTAAGAGGGGAAGGAAAGAAGATACAGTGCGCTGGTGTGGTACAGTTCATCGTAGCTCCAGTGTGTGGCGCTACTGCTCAGAAGATCTTCAGATGGAGAAGACCTTTCATGTCATTTTGTTTCCTTCCAGAATACCAATCCTTCCAGTAACAGGAAGTGTGTCAACACCGACTTGTGGGAACTCTGTTCCGAAAGTAGATCGAGTCGGTCTGACGTGCTTCTGGGTTCCCGCTTAGATATTGCCAATTTTAGACCACACTCTCTCGTGCGCTCTCTTGACCTATCTCCTCCCACCAGCCTGTCGTCTGTCTCTTCTGCCATGAGGATGGCGACGTTAGCAATGAGCCTCTCATACGGGAGACAAGCTCGGATTTTCAGGAATAATGGAGAGCGAACTCCATTTTCATAACCCCAATTCCCAAATTCTGATCAGACCCTCTTAGGGAAATAGGAAAAGTGGAGCAGGAGGAGGTCGTTCAGCCCATCAAGTCTGTTCCACCAGGTTTATTAGATCTTGGCAGATATTTTGATCTCAATGCCAACATCCTCTCACAATAATACTGCCCAAATATCTATCCATCTCTCGTTTAAACATCTGATCTCACTTATTGTGAGGCAGCAATAGGGGCTCTTCAATTGTGCAATGCTCTGGCCAGCTGTTTGTTCCTCATCTCACCGTTGGCCTTAAGCCTTAAGCCACTAAGCCCACTCTCTGTGATTTACCTGCTCATTTGCTCAACACGCTCAAACTCCTTCCACCTTCCCCCCAGCCCACGCCCCATTGTGTCTGTAAAGTGCTTTGAGATGCTCATTGCGAAAGGCACTATATAAATGCCACCTAGTACCAAACCTAGGCAACTTGGAACCATTGTGGTCTGTGGCTATGGCTCAGAGTACAACTAGAGTAAAGTTCAGCTCAGCTATCGGAGTTTGGAGACTTTACAGCTTAATTGCTGGGAGTCGAAAGCGAGATGGGTCAATGAAAACACCATTGAACACTGTGTGAACCCGCTGGTGAGGCCGTTACTGCTCTTGCACAGATATCTGTCGATCCAAACATTGCCTATAGATGGCGCTCGGCCACCTACAGCACTGAGTTTTCACATCCTCAACTCAGTGGAAAACTAATAATAATCCTTGCATTTGCTATAACACCTACAGCATCAAAATGTCTCAGGAGCATTAATATCAATCGTAGTGACTGTATGTTTGTAGACAAACAAGGCAGCCAATTTGTACACAGCCATGAAGTGAATGGTGAGTTTGTGTGATGGATTGTAGCTCAGTGGTTAAGAGCACTCGCCTTGCAAACAAGAGGTCCTGGGTTTGATTCCCGGCAGGGCGAAACGTTAGGCAAGTTTCCTTACTCCACATGCCTCTGTTTACCTAGTAGTAAGTAGTGACCTGGTTGTTAGTCAATTGGCGGATCGCTTTTCCGAGGGTAATAACGCCTTAAAAATATATTAATTTGGAAAACTGCTGTGCCCAATTGGCTGCTGCGTTTCGCCCACAAACTATATAATATATTCTGTGAAGCGCTTTGAGACGTCTTGAAGATGTGATAAGGCGGTATATCAAATGCAAGGATTCTTATCATTATTGTCAGCCAGGACTCCCTTCTCTTTAACAATCACCCAGATAGGGCTGGACCTCAATTTAGTATCTTAACTGAAGGATGGCAACTCTGACACTGCAGAGCTTCCGTAGAATGTCAATCTAGACTAGATCATCTACAAATATTTGTTTTTATTTGTATTGGGGTGGGGGGGGGGGGGTTAATTTTCATGGATGGGGGGGGTGGAGATTTTCTTTCTTCCCAGGACAAGGTTGATTTTAGTTTGAGTTTCAAGCTTTTCCTTTTGATCCTTTGCTCTCTTTACAGTGGGTCTGTGTTTGCAATTGATTGCACTTGCAGGCCTTTTGGCTAATGATTGGATGGCGATTTGTCTGATGCTTGATTTCTTCCAATAAAACAGTTCCGGGAAGGTGAGGGCCAGGCGGTGGTAAAACGTTAGTGGTGTTAAAACATACAACAACAACAAATTACATTTACACCGTGCCTTTCACGTTGGTAGGACTTCCCAAGGCGTTGGCCAGTCAAGGTTTTGCACCCGAGCTGTGGGTTGGCATCAGGAGGGGGAGAGGACAAATTGTCATGGAATTAGCAGGTCACAGAGGAATTAAGAAATAATGAGCTGGTTATATGTATGACACAGTCAATGATTGTGGAGTCCTGTAGCTCTGGTTAGAGCACTTGCTTCGCAAGCTGGTTTCAATTCCAGGCTGGAGCGAAATGTTGGGCATGTTTCCTTACTTCACACGCCTCTGTTTACTTAGCAGTAAGTAGGATCCCAGTTGTTAGTTGATTAGCGGATCTCTTTTCCGGGCCTAATTCCTTCAAAAAATAATAATATTAATAAATTGATCAATCCATGACTGTTTGTGAGACGCTGCTGTGCGCAATTGGCTGCCGCGTTTTGCCCACAAAATATACAGTCAATTCACTTTACAGTGTATTCTTTGAAGCGCTTAGGGATATCTGGATAAGGCGCTGTATCAAATACAAATATTATAATTAGAGATTTGGTGTGGTGGAACTTTGGAATGTGCCAATGTGTGAGAAACATGCCATGCATCTCTCTGCCTCTCTTCACCTCTCTGCTCTTTCTCTTTCGCTCTCTATCTCTCTTTTCTACCTTTTCTACCTCCCTATCTCTCTGATTTCCTCGAACTCCACTCCTCTGCTCGCCTCCTCTCAGCTAACACAGTCTGCAAGTTGTCGTTGATGTTTCTCCTCATTCTTTCTCTGCTTCCCTCTCTCTCCCCTCTGCTCTTTCTCAATTTGAATCAATATCTCTCTCTGCTCTTCACCTTTCTTTCCGCTTCTCTCACTCCTTCATTCGCCCCCTTTCCTCTCTCTTATTCCTCTTTCACTAGTTTTCTCTGTTTCTTTTTCTGCTTTCCCTCGTTTTTTTTCTCCTTTTAACACGTTGCTAGAATCTGCTCCTCC